GTTTTATAACAAATCCAAAGGTAATGCAAAAGAAGTGAATCATCAGTTTTTTTTTTTTTTCCAGTATTTAAAAAATAACCGATCTTTTGTTGTGGTGTTTTGCAAGTGCTTCAAAAAAATAATTGTATGATAAATCCAGAAGTTCGAATATCTAGCAAAAAGGCATATTGAATTTGCTTCGGCCATCTCTACAGTATTTAGGGGGGGGAGTGCTTTCAATCATCAGTGAGTTAATGTTTAGGAGATTCAGCATAATAATAAGTTGGTTCAAGGTCGATCTGAGTTTGTGCTTTGCAAGTATGTGCGACAGAAAATTATTTGCGCTTCCGCTTTTTCAACAGCTCAAAAATTTTTACATTCATGTGAATCAAACTCAGGAACAAAATTATTTAATATGCTGCGGATTCTATAGTTTTCATTTCAGTTTTGGTTAACATTTCTGCAATTTCATTGTGCTGTTTTGAGAAAATGTGAAATTCTTGTTCATTGATTTTTTAAAATTTTTCATAAGTGTGTGTGACGAAAGTAATGAATAAGCTATTGAAACTATTTTTAGGGAAGGATATTAAGGTAAATAATTATATTTTTGAATTTATGGTGAACATTTTGAATTGTTGATTAGAATTTTTAAGTGCATGAAATAGTTTTGAAAAATTTTTGTAGAATATGAAAAAAAGTAGTGTTTTGAGTAGTATTATAGGAATCGTAAGTAGTGTAGAATTATGTTAACTGATTAAAAAATGTACGGATCATAATATGTTTAGATAAACTTTGAAGGCTCCACTTTTATTTTTTTTTTTTTCGAATATAAATAATTTATATATATATATATATATATATATATATATATATGTATACAGAGTTGCCAACTCTCCCGATTTAGGCGGGAGACTCCCGATTTTCGACCGATCTCCCGCCAACCCGATTTACAATATATTTCTCCCGACTTTTTCTTATTCTTAAAATTTCTCACGATTTTTATGGAACTTGGCTTAATACTTTGTTATATGAACAAAAGTGATTTTGGACGTCTGAAAGCAGTTGAATTTTCTCTAGATTATATCTAAACAAAACCTTACGAATCAGATAACTTATGCTTTGTGAATGAGAGCATTATACGTATCCCAGAAACGTCGTTCTCCAGTTCTCCAATGGGCATCGAACTCCACTGCGTGTCAGCTGGCGTATATTAGCCAATGAGGACAAGGCAAGCTGTTATTTGGATGTTCTTTAGTTATTTCGTTTAATTTGTGCTGAGTTGTGCGAGTGCACGTGCCTTCGGGAAATAGTTTTAGAAATTATCATCTTTTGTTATGTCTGCGAGAATGAAATACTCGTGTACGTTTCAAAAATCGTACACAGTTGACTTTCCTTCCATTATTTCCTCAAGGAAATGTAATAAATTTGCGATGTGCACCGCCTGTCGTTGCGATTTTTCGAATTCGCAATATGGAAGGGCGGATGTTCTCAAACATGTGCGAACACAATTATTTACATTCAGTTATATTTCTCATAATTCGAAACTTTTATCATGTTATTCGATGAGGGGTAGGGCTATGGCGCCCAGGCACCCTGGTGGTTAAGCACCGCAGTTCAACATCTGTAAAAACACAAGGATAACATGAGTTGTTTTTTAAAAAAACGAAAAATTAAATTTTTCTTTGGAAATAAAGGACCAAAAAGTTATTAATGCAGAATGTCTGTTCTCTGCCTTTTTACTGGAGCACAACCTGCCACTGAATGCATCGGATCACGCTGCAGCTTTATTTAGAAAAATGTTTCCCGATAGTGAAATTGCTAAGAAATACTCAAGTGCAAGAACCAAAACAGGTGCAATTGTTAAAGAAATGAGTTTGAAAAATAAATCTTCAGTTATTGGTTGCACAAAACAGCTCCGTTCTGCCTCTCTCTCTACGGATAGAAGCAATAATACCGATTCAAAACTGTATCCAATTGTTGTTTCTTTTTTTTAATCCAGATTCTTAAGAAATTGAGTGCAGTTTACTCTTTCTGTCCCCATTTTAGAAGGACATTTGACAGGCTTTAATATACCACAGCTAATTATTAAACTTTAAAAGAAAATGCAGGCCCTCTGGATAATTGCTTAGCACTTGGTGCCGATAATGCACCAGTATTGGTAGGCTTGAAGACTGGTGTTGCAGGCATCTTAAGAAGGGAAAATTCAGATTTTCAGATTATGAGGTGCACCTGTCACCTCTTAAATTTAGCAGCTGAAAAAGGGGCAGCTTCTTTACCAATAAATGTGGATGAACACATTGTTGATATTTATTATTATCTTGAAAGGAGTTCTAAAAGGAAGGAAAAATTGAAACAATTCCAACAGCTGCATAACAGCAGTTTACAATTAGAAAACTTGAATGAAGTTATAAAATCAGCTAGGATTGACACCCAGTGGAGTTTAATTGGAAAACTGAAAGGTGCTGATGGAATTTTAAAATATAGCCAACTGTCTAGAATTGTGTTGGCCATCTTGACAGTTCCCCATAGTAGTGCAGAGTGTGAGAGGATTTTCAATGTTGTTGCGTAAATGAGGACTAAATTTAGATCTAATATTAGTGATGACACATTAGAAAAACTTTTCTTAGCGAAAGCAGGCCTACGTGTCAATTGCAGTGAACAAAATTAGTTCTTTAACAAAGAAACTTCCTAATTTTCTAAACTAAAATTCCCTCTTTTTTTTTTTTTTTTTTTTTTTTTTTTCCGTAAACGATGCAAGTAATAAAAATGTTTTTTTATGTGTAAGGTATTTTTGTGTTGCTTGCATTTAAGAATTAGTTACTATTAAAGTTAATTCATTATTAAAAACCATATTTTTATCATTTAAAAAGTCTTTTTAACATTGTGGAAAATCTCCTGGTTTCTTAAAAAAATCTCCTGATTTTTTAGTGTCATAGGTTGGCAAGTATGTGTATATTTTAATATAATGGAGTGTGGTTAATTTTTTTTAAATAAATGGTGGGTTGTAATGCAGTTCACAAAGGCCAGTTACCTTATAAAAGGAATGGAGGCCTTTCCAAGTAGCTATCCAAATAGCTGGAAGTGTGTACTAGGAAAAAGCTGTGGGGTCTTCCAGTTTGTACAAAATAAGTAAATTAAAAATTTCGATAATAATAGTATATTATTTCAGAATTACATAATAAAATTTTGAAATTTTTGTGATTTTGTAATGTTAATGGATGTATTTGAAAAAGTTTTAAAAGCCTTCCCTAAATAGATATGATTATGAAATTTATTTCCTTATTTTATATTCACGAAATTATATGGGTCATATTATTATTGTAGAGCAGTGTAGGATTTAATATATCTTTTGCATATTTGTATATTTTTTCCATTTGAATTAACTAGTTTGAAGACTTTTTATAGTTATAAACTATACTAGAGTTCAGTTACCTTTATTAAGGAATTGAGGTTTCTATGTGTAATTGTATTTAAACGTCCCACAGCCATCAGCAAGTTGTATCGCTGATTTGCATTGTAGAGGATTTGCCCATTTTTATCAAACTTTATTTTGTTATTGCACTGAATTTTTTACTATGTATTAAGTTCTAAATTCTATTTTGCATTGCCTTACAATTAAGAAAATGTGGATTATATCATAAATAATCAATTAAAATTTCATGTATTTGTAAAAGAAAATTTTGGTTTTATATTTACAGAACTGTGAACTTTCTTGAGAAAAATTAGGACATTCTTTACAATGAACTTGAAAACTTCTCACCGTTGTATTTACCTAGTTTTGTTAATTCTGTAATGCTTTCTTCTAAGAAGGCTTTTCTGTCACCACACCTTTTTCTGTTTGAAGGGGGGAATTATGTAAGATAAAAAAATATGTGATTCCAAATTATAATTTAAACTAACTGTAAAACATTAATTCTCCCTCTCTATTCTAAAAATCGTAGTAACTTCTCTGGATTACGTCATTTCTAGTTCATTCTATAGCTTGCGCAGCTCTGATGACATAATAATTGGAAACGCTGCTTCCTATTGCAATAATATCATTGATGTAAATGTTCTTTAACAGGCACGATTAGGGTGCCAAGTGATCTGTGGCCACATAATGTCAATTGGAAATAAAAATGGAATTAATATCGCCTCGACTGCCAAGTTTTATTTTCAAGTCAACACATTAGCTTACAATGCAATCAGAATACTTCCTCTTCAATATAGCATAACTATGCATCAACAGTACTCCGTCTTTTCCTTGCTTTTATTTATGTCATATATATCGGTGTTTCAGCAAATCAGTTACAAATTTTCAGGAGAGATATCACATAGCAATGCACGGACAAAAAGGGCTTTATGACGCAGTTTTTATTACATATATATAGGTGTTTCAGGAAATCGGTGACAGATTTCAGGAGAGTCTTTGATATGATTTGATATGATGTCTTTGATATGATTTAAATCATCTTTGATTTAAATCATATCAAAGACAGAGTACATCGAAATGAAATACTACATTTAGTAATGAATTATAAGCCGAATAAAAGGAAAACATCTGTCCTGAAGATAAGGATGGTGCTGACAGATCAACTTTCAGTTCATTGCGTGCCGCGACATTACCTTTCTCCAGAGAGCAGCATGAAATTGATAAACAGATTTCGGAATGGTTAGTGAAACAAAGGATATGCCTTTATCTATTTTTTGCAGCAATTCCACTTTTTGTTTGATGGATATTGAAATATGCTTTCACTTTGTAGATCCTTTGGCAGCTTCAGCAATTCGAAGATTAAGGAACAGAACAATCTGCAACATTAACTGAAAGAGCTTATACCACCCGTTATACATTAAACGCGCATGTATTATGCACATGCGCATGCGTTGACGTATGCGCAGAAAGTTTGTAGCTTTGAGGTCCGGATTAACGACTTTTGACTGTATTTAAAAACTGTACGTAATGGTAGAAAAATGAATTTATTTTCTGCTTCCTGTAAATAATTTTAATAGTAATTTCAGTTTGTTTTATTTCCTTCTTTTAGATGTTATTATCATGAGGACATAGACGTGAGTTACTGTGCTATGGCATACTCGAAGCGCTTGTGGTGAGTACAAATAAAAGTTTAATTCAATAACTATTATCTCTTTTTGTCATTGTTTTTTTCCCACTATGCCTTTTTTTAATAAATGTATTTAACCCCTTGACTATGAATTTTAATTACCCCATTTTCTATCCAAGTGAACAAAATATGTCATAAATAAGGTAAATTTAGCATTTGGGATTTTTTGACAAACTGTTTAGTATTTGCTGCAGTGATTCATGCCATCCATTTAGAACTGGTACCTTCCATGAATATGGAAGCGTTTTTGTTAGCTTTCAGACTATTCAGACTTTGTTCAACAATATGCAGTGATAATGCAAAATTATTCAAGCGTGCAGACACTAAACTTAAAAAACTGTGGAACTGTATTTCTGATCCTTCCATAAATAATTTCTTTTCTTACAATATTCATTGGGAGTTTATAGTTGAAAAGGAAGCATGGTGGGGAGGATTTTGTGAGAGAATGATTAGAAAGATCAAAACAAGTCTTAGAAAAATTGTTGTCCATTCATTTATCTCTCTCTCTCAATGACCTAGAAACAGTTTTCGTTGAGATTGAAACCATGATCAATTCCAGGCCCATTACTTATATAGTGAATCCTCAGAACCACTCTACTCACTCCTGCGCATTTTTTGATAGGTAGACGTTTGCTATCCCTTCCTCCAATAAAATATCTAAAGATGATTTATCAGGAATCGAGGTAGTCCATCGTGAAAAAATTCAAACATTAACAGAATGTATTAAATAATTTTGGGAAATGCTGGTGAAAAGGTTATTTATTAAATTTAAGATCTGCTAATACATGCCAGCAAAATTCAAAGGTGACTGAATTCAAACCAAATGACATAGTGTGAATCAATGAAGAATGCTACCCTAGAAATAGGTGGTCTCAAGGTAGAATTATAGAGATTCTCCCAGGAAGGGACAGCAAAGTTCGCTCATATTCTATCAAAACTGGCACTGGACTAATAAGAAGGCTAGTTCAATTAATTTATAATTTAGAGCTCAGTTATTGAGTCTAAAAATTTACAATATGTTATCCATGCGGTTGAAACTTTCTTTTTGTTTTTTCATTATTGTATTCTTTTAGTTATGAGCTTATGGTATTTTTATTCTTCTATTCTTTATATTAATAGTTTAACCAAGAAACCTTTGTATGGAAAACTTGTTTAGAATATCATATTAAAAAAATATGGTAATTACTTGTGATTGATAGAAATTGGTAAGTATTTGTTATAAACTCTATATGTTAAGAGTTTAGGTGGAAAATGTTACGAAATACCTGTAGAGGGTGCTGTACCTTGCCTCTTCAAGGTAGAATTAGAATTTGAACTGTAATGAGATGTGCTTAACTGTGAGTTAGAATGTTTTGTAAGGGAGTCGCTGGCCCTAACAATTAGCAGCAAAAGAATATTATGTTCTAGTTCAGTAACTTGTAAATAAATTAGTTGTGTTTTAGACTGAGCCTTTTATCACCTGTTGCATACAAACATGAACCACCGAAAGAACGAAATTGACTTTGTTGATAGTTACAACTTTAATTGGATTAGTATTTCATATTCACAGGGGCCAGCGTCTTGTGTTAGTAGTTTATTTTTAAAAAGAAAAGAAGAGGAGGTAAAAGAGGGTGCTACAGTGCTTTGTTCATACTTCCTGAAATATGTTTCTGGTATTATTGATTTACATTTTGATACATGGAGGATATATAAGGAGCTTTTAAATGTAGCTTTTACAATATTATTTTGAGGTACAAATTATCAGTGGCACATTAACAGATGATGATGGTTACAGAGGTGTCAAGGATGGTACAGCTCGAGATATAGGTTTTGGAATATGTCCACGATGTCTTTAACATGGTGGTGGGTCTTGCGGTGTTTAGCCCTTTCGAGACGGCGTTTCTTTGTTTAAGATCTTCTTTGGGGATGGATGGGAGTAAAATGGAATCATCCCATTGGGGAACATAATCGAAAAAACATTTTAAATTATTTCTTAGGCTATCATATATGTTAAAATTAGCATTTAATAATCTTTTTCCTTTGTATGAAAAAATATAAAAAAAACTATTGCTTACGTTGAGAAGTAATTTTTGGAAGTGCTATTCAAATTATTTCAAAATTTTAATTGACAAAATACAGTAATAAAAATTAATAAAAAAATTCAAGGAAGAATATTTACAAGAAGTAAAATCTTTCCCGGGAAGCGGAAGACGGACACTCAGTGAGCTCAGTCTCTGACAAAATGTCACTCTCTATAACTGTAGAAAGTAAATCATTACTCTCATCCGTGTCACTGATTGGCTCATTTATCATGCGAGTACATCATTCCTTTGATAAATAATGCTTGCTCTCCATAATAAACTTAAGTCAAGGCCTTTCTGAAATAAAAATGGAATTATGCAAGATATAAGCAATGCAAAGCATAGTAGAACTTCACAGTTACCCTAAAAGACCCTACATAGTAGGGAAAAAGAAAGTTTAAAGGCTTCAAAAGAATATCAGAAATGTGAATGTTTATATCGTGGTGAGTTAAAGAACCCAAGCTTTGTTTATTTACATTAAGCTTTCCCTCCCTTCCCTGCAACAGCTGACACCAATGTTACACAGAAAGTGATCAGACTAAAGATCATGATCCTAAAACTATATTAAGTTAAAAAATAATGGACACAGAACACCATCTAGTGGTCCTTGGAAAATGTTTCAGCTTAAAATGCATATACGCATCGGTTGTCCTTTACGTGCGCTCTGTGATGATGCGTAAGTGGGACTTCGGCTGTGAGAGACATTCCTAGGGAATGCATATATGGGACACTGTATATTAATCAAAATTCATTGAATTCAGTGCCAGCGCCTGTAGGAAGGTTGCTGTCTCTAATATTTTTCATTAAATTCACATATGAAATTATGTTCTTATTGTGTTATTTTAATATTTCATTCTAATTTTTTGTTTCAGCTATTTGTTTTCAGACGCAGTATGTCATTTGTTTGACATTGAACTTACGCCTAAGCACATACCAGCTCGTTCTGTTGAAGACAAAGACTATGTGATTAGTTCTACTGCTGTAAGTTTTACAACATATTATTTCCAACTTTTTTTCTCCATTAAATTTTTATGGGTTACTTTTAGATGTGTTATGTATTAGATACAATAAAAATGGATTGTGTAGCTTAAGTAAATGTTATGTTGATTCCTTGCCATAAAATAAAAATGAACAAATTTTAAAACAAAAACAATTTGACCTCATACAGTGTATTCTGCAGAAGAATGCAGAGTCAGTTTTGAAATTGCTGTTATCAGAAATGCATTTCTGTCTTGTGTATGAAATTATATTGTGCCACAAAATAATAAAATTGTTGAGAAATAATCAGCTGCCTTATTTTATAAAAGGTAAATTTGTAATTTAATAATAATAATTTGTCCTGTAGAATTGTTTCAATGCAAAAAATAATTTAGTCTGGTAAGAAATTTTTAACATTACAGAATTGTTTTTTAACGCCCTTAGTTAAAGTGTTTTGGCTTTTACAGAGTGGTTTGGCTTTTTCAGAAAACGGCATAAAAAATAATCGTGTATACTCACCAGGTCTGTCGCAAAAATGACACTTATTTTGACTCGAATTACTTCAAGAGCGGGCCCCCCTTACCATATGGATATAAATAAGCTAATTCTCCCCTCGGTTGAATTTAGCAAATGAAATTAATTTTTCTCCCTATGGTATCTTCGTAACAGGACTGGTTGCTAAAATTGTATTTTATCTCCTATTTGGCTACTTTATAATTTGCATACTAACATATCGTATTTGATGGCATATAAGACGCGCTGGCGTATAAGACGCACCCTTATTTAGAAGGCCACACACATGTAGATGTAGAAAAATTTATGTGTGTCTGGACCTTTATCCGGGCTAAAAATAGCATTCAGTATTGAAAGTTACCCTGTGTCCTTCACGTATAAAACGCAGGTAACTTTTTTGAGACCAAATTTAGGAAAAAAAGTGCGTCTTGTATGCCGTCAAATATGGTATAGGCTGTATATTACTTGTACCTTAATCAAGATATGTGCCGAATACATATATCTTGTCAATAGTCAATAAACAATAAAGTCAATATACATCAGTAAGAGAAACTACGTAAAATGCTTTAAATTTCCAGTTTCTTTAAGGAATGGCTTCGATAATGGTGAAAAATTAGCCTTGCATTTTAAATCGTTATTTTCTGAGAAAATATTTTTAATATACAGAGGGAATTTGTGAGAATTTTTTTTCTCTCGTGTTCAAATTTTTCGAATACAAATTATTCACAACTTTTTTTAATATTATGTTTATATTTAATTTTCCAATATTTTAAGTTTATTCCACTTTAAAGTTATTAGATTTATAACATTTAAATAATTCTTTAGATTGCATCATAAATTTATTAGTAGTTAGTTACTTAATGACACCATTTTGACTTGTGAGAAATAAAGTATTGTATTGTATTCGCGAAAAATTTCGATTTTCATATTCCAAAGGAAATTTCCATTTTGATTAGTCCCATCATGACGTTTACACATACGCATGTCGCATAACTTCACCATAAAATATTGAAATTTTATATTTGGGACTTATCACTAGTTTTAGCACGATGTATGTATGCATGTATATCGCATAACTCAAAAACAGTTAACCGTAGAATGTTGAAAGTTTCTGTATGGGATTAGTATAACATCTAATTGTGCACCTCCCTTTTTTATTGCAATCGGCAGTGCCAAAGGGGCATTTTGAAATGGAAGATCATATCTCATTTTCAAACGAAATAGGTATAAATGAAGTTAAGCAAAAATTGCTTTTAATTTATTTGGCGTACAAGGAAGTCGTGGTGTGTGCATCATATTTTTTAAGATGTTTCAAAATAAATAATATATGATTTGAATATCAAATGATCTCAAATATATGAGCTTTATTTGTTTGTTAATATTTTACAAAGCTAAGAAGTAATCTAAATAGTATACCTTGAAGAAAACACATTAAATATACTTTTTTAAAAGCAAAATTTAAAGAATAAGTCATTAAATTTTCTTTAAATTCCTTTTGTAAAATATTACATATGAAACCAGATATTATTTTCAGAAAGACAATTTGTAGAGTGATTAGGTTTTTTTTTTTTTATGCTGAGGACGGGAAAAATGAGCAATGCCCTGTCTGGGATTTGAACCTGGACCTCTTGAATACGTGCTGAGGGTGCTACACCACGAAAAATGCAGTAGGAGACCCAATTGTTAAATCCTGGTGGTGAAGAATCATCATCCATTTCTTTTTTTTTTTAAGTTCAGACGCCATTAGGTTATTTGAGGAGGAGATGCATAAAAAATGAGCAAAGCACTAGCCGGGACTCGAACCTTGGACCTCTTGAATATGCGCCGAATGCACTACATTACACCACGAAGGCATGTACCTTATAACTTTAAGGAGGAAAGTATTGTTTTAAAATGAATACCGCACAATAATTTCAGCTTTAAATTGTCTTTCTGAAAAATATTTTTGGTAATATTCATTCTAAAATTCATCTAAAGCTATTTCTATACATAAATTTGATATTCTTAAAGTTATGTTATCTAAATGTATTTATAAGCAGTCAGTTAAAACACAATATAACAACTGCACAAGATCTACGTAAAGATCCATTTCTATCATCTGTTTCCATCTATTCTATTATCTGTTTTTATCTATTTTATGATCAGCCAAAATAGTTATAATTATCCTCTTGAATATTTGAACAGGTAAAATATGTGCGAACAAGTAAAATTATCTCATTACTGTTAATGTTGAATGTGAAACTTTCTTTAAAAAGGCGGCAAAACATATGACAGTTTTATGTTTAGTTTATTTGATTACGGAAAAGCAAGAAAGTGTTATCTTACTAATGAAAGTATGTCTTCGTGAAGAACTTCCCAAGGGAAATTGGCTGGTATTGACATTACACAGAAGGAAAACCACCGAAGCGTCCATGCAGTCAACCTGTTCGCCAGAACTGGAGTCCGGTTCGAACTACCAGTGTTCAATGATATTACCGCTCAACTATTGGCTATCCCATATATATTTAGAAAAATGTGACTTCACGTGCTATGTTAGAATTTTTAAATCTATGTGACATGCAAATTATTTAGCCGATGCAATGTAATAGCAAATTCTTTAATGACTCGATTCTTGTAGTTTTCTACAAAATCTGGGTCTTCTGATGGCCGACTGGATAAGACCGCAAAATCTGATCCTTCGATATGTATTTGAATCATGGCGTACAGTATGGCTACATAGGAACTTTTTAAGATTTCTCTGTGTGAAATACAATTATGAGCCAAGTTTCCTTCCAGAAAAGCATTCCACTTCTTAGTCGAAGGATTCAAGAATGTTTCATCATTTTCAATTAAAACAAACAAGCTTCTTAAAAAGTACGAAGTATAAGTATACTTTAATCAAATATTTTTCCCAAAATATTCTTATTAAAAATCTATTTAACTATGATTATATTGTTTATATATCCTAGTAAATTATGAATAATTTTGTAGTTTCTTGTTATCTCTGTTTCTGTGTATTATAAAAATTCAAGCATTCAGAATTTTACGCAAAAATAAATTCTTTCCATAGTAACAAATATAACATTTGCAGTCGAAATTATAAGAAGTATACAATATTTTTTTTACGGCAGCAGTATGCTTTGACTTATTTGACTAATATAAAGCATACTAGAGATATCTGCCTAAAAGGAGGGATGCCTTCGTTGGAGGACTTTTTAAGAATTCAGGATTAGTATTCCATTATTTCATTGCCAAGACGCCTCCTGAAATCTTTGTCATAAACATTAAAATTTTAAAGCCCTAAATCATTGTAAATACAGTTTCTGAAACTTATTATATTTATACAACTGTTTTGCAGTCGCAGAACACTCTGTTTTGAACTTTTTTTGCTGTAGGACTAATGTAAAAGTTAAATTTCTTAACTTAGTATATGTAGATAAAATGATTTATATAGCATCTAGATATAATACGAAATTTTTTTGGATTGAAAAGGCGACGATCAGTTTAGAATCAACAAGTTAAAAAACAATCGAACATAATATCCATTTGGAAACACATTCCATATAATTTTCGAAGTTAAGATGTCCAACAAATCATATAATGCTGCAGTGCAGGTACATTTAGAAAGATTTACCCGTTTTTCCCTTGCGTCCTCTGGTGGTGCAAGTAGTAGCAGATCCAACTTGTAAACTGAAAGATCTATGATTCGAATTTCAGTCTTTAAGAGAGGAGAATATATGGAATTAACAGCACGTCCAGCTGAATAAGTTTGAAGATTCATGATTGTGTTCAAGGCCTCGTCAATGGCCAAACAGTTAAGACCTTTGAATACTGGCAGTTCGGCCTGGTTTGAGTTCGATCTCAGGTGAACGGAATGACTGCATGGTTGGTTTTCATGGTTTTCCACATGTGTAATATGCTAGCTTTCTTCAGAATATCCTTAACGAAGGCATCCTGCCTGTTAGGTAGATAGTCTTCATAGCTTTCCCGTATTTAAAAAACCAAACCGACCATGACTGTGATCCTGCCGAGTGCATTGTTAAGTTTACTATCATGGCTTTTAGCACCTAATAGATTCTATATATTGTTATTATCAAAGAATTCCTCTCAGGAAGTTATCCAAAAATGTATTAACAGCACAGATTTTTTGAGGATTATTTTTCTTTTTGAAAAAAGTACTCGGTAAAAAGATTTCGAATTCGAAATTTTTATCATATTCGGTTAGTAAATTGTTATAATGTTATTTAGTTATTTATGCTTTCATTGGAAACCCTTTAAGGACATACAAGGTGTGGCTATTAATTTCCAGGACTGCTCTAATAACACCAGAACGGATGATGTGAAAAACGTAACCTTTTAATATGTTTCGAAGTAATCCCCATCTGCCTTAACACACTTCTGTGCTCGGCTGTATAAGTTGTGGAAACAATTTTTAAAGTCCTCTTTCAAAAGACTGTTCAATGTCGACGTCATGTTCTTCTTGATGTCTTCAACATCCAAAAAGCGTGTTT